GGGAGGGCAGAGACAGGGACAACTGGGGCCGAGGCTTCCTGGTGTCTTTCTTCCCCTGCCCTATCTTCTCTGGCCGTCGTCGACTGTCTCTCTGTCTTCCTCCATCCGCCGCCTGAACACACGCCCAGGGGACCAGCCGTCTGTCCCCTTCCAGCTGTGTGGCCCAGAGCAGGACGGGCTGAGGCTCACGTCTCCTGAGCCTCTCTGGGGCAGGTGGGCTGTGCGTCCTGGCGGTGGCAGGAGGAAGGGCATCCCCGTGGTCTCCTCGACCCCCACCCCACCATTCGTCCTGGCGACAGCACCGAAATGACCCGGGGGCCTCACACTGAGCCCTGGGTGTCCACAGAGGAGGACCAGGTTGGACGGGGCCTCGGAGGCAGGTGTTCGGGGGTGTAGGAGGGCGAGCGTACGTCTCCCGGGCCGAGAGCGGACCCGCGTTGACTGCGCGCCCGCTCCCCGCAGCCCCGTGCAGGCACATCCCCTAGGGGCTCGGTGCACCGTTTGGATTCGAATTCCCGCCCCTCGGGAAGCGGCCGTGACCTCGTGGGGCGGAGAACGGGGCCAGGCTGACGTCGGGGGCGGGGAGTGCTGTGGGCGCCCCCTGCGGTTGGTACTCTGCAGCCCAGAGGCTCAGCGGCGGGAGCTCCCTTCTCCAAGGTCACACACGGTGACGGCTGCGGGGGAGGGGGCGGGCGTGACTGTGGTCCCTGGTGGCGCCATCTCAGCCTGGGAGGGGGGTTCCGGGTCCCACAGAGCGGCCTCAGGGACCAGACACCGGCGAAGAGCGGTCCCTTCCGAGAGCTCCGTCGAGGGAGCGTCCCTGGGTACCAGAAGGTGAGGCTGGAGAGCGCAAGTCCGAGGCCCGGGGCTTCCGCGTCTCGGTGCCTCCGTTTACCCGCCCGGCCGATGCGCAGCCGCGCCGTTCCCACAGCCCGGGCGACCCCGCGCGCGCCGCCCGCGTCATGGAACCGCCGCCTGACCCCGCGCTCCCGGCTAAGTTTAGAGCAGGAGGAAAACAGCCTCCTCCGGCCCCTTAACCCTACGCGCTCGGGATGCGGATTCGAACCCGGCACGCTGAGGCTGTTCCTGGTCTCAGTTTCCCTATTTGTCCACAGGCGTTATTTCCCAGAACCTTTGGAGAAAAGGGGAGAGAGTGGTAGAGGTCCCCACCCGCGGGCCTCCCGGTCGGAGGGCAGGTTTGGGGTACCCCAGCCACCAGTTTGGGGTATCCCCGCCTGAGACACTCCGATGCTGCCACTGCGCCCATGCGCGACACTGCCTCGGCAGAGGAGCATTAACAAGCCCCGCCCCTGCGCGTGACGTCATGGGGCGGGGGTGGGGGGGGGGGCTTTTCTCGGAGCCGGGCGGAACAGACCGAGTGGGGCCGGACGAAGACGAATATGCCCGAGCCGGCCCGAGCGCCATCCGGACTTACTCGAAGCAGGCCCAGCGCAGCCGGACTTAGCCGAATAAGCACGAACTCATCTGAGCCCGCCCGAATGTAGTCGGAAGTAGCCGAACTCGGCCGAACTCACCCGACCGAACTCTTCGGGGCCAAGGCCAAGCCTGAGTAATCGACAGAGCGGGATCGAGTCCTGCCGAATCCCCCGCCCCCACCCAAATCTGAGCTGGATCCAACCTCCCCTGCTCAAAAGTCACGGCAGGGGAGCAGGGGAACACCGGCCCTTGGCCAGGAGATCAGTTTTGGTTGGTCCCCGGTGTGTCCATGTCTCTGCCGCTCCTGCCCGCCTTCTCAAAAGCTCGGGACCCGCAAGCACCCCTCCACGCTCGGGACCCACAAGCACCCCTCCACCAGGTCGTCCACCCCCGCCTCCGCGCCGTAGTCCTTTGTCTGACCTCTGATCCCGAGAAAGAGGGCATAGATCCCTCTGCTTAGTCAGGGCGTGGCCGGAAGGAAGGACAGACTTGGGGGGCTGAATAGAACAGGTGGTGTTGGGAAGTAGGGCGGAGCTCCGGGAGAGGGCACACCTGTGCAGAGGCCTGAGGTGAAGAGAGTAGGCGGGGAGTTCAGGTTGAAGACAGAGCCGGGGGTGTGGCCTACTGGCTGGGGGTGGAACCTCGAGAGCTGGGGGCGTGGCCGACAGACGGGATAGGGCCTACGGGTTGAGGGTGGAGCCTCGATAGTTGAGGGTGTGCCCAGGTGGCCCAAGGGTGTGGTCAAGCTGGCTGGGGGTGGAACCTCTCGGCTGTGAGGAGTCCTGCAGCGTGCAGGAGCTAGGCAATACCCGAGCCTCCTCCAGGTGGAAGAGACCAGGAAGCCGATTGTAGTCCACGTGGACCATGCGACCTAGACCTCAGTTTCCCCCTTTGTAATACGGGCGCCCAGTCGTCGTCCTTGGGCACTCGCCTGTAATCGCCTAAAAGTACCCCCGAGGATGGAGTTTATCATGCCCACATTACAGGCCGGGTAGTAGAAGTCCAGAGAAAGGCGCGGACCTGCCCATAGTCACAAAGTCACTTTGGGGAAGATCTGGAACTCAGGTCCTGGAGTCCAGACTGGCCCCAGTAAGAGGGGCTCCGGGGTACAGACGCGGAGACGGAAGCGTGAGGGGTACTGAGCTCCTGAGTGAGGGTGTGGCTGTGAGGCAGGTGGGCAAGCTGTAAGCCACCCCCGCCGGACCGCCGTGCAGCCCCCGGGAGGACGTGGCAGAACGGGAGTCTACCACGACAGGCACCCAGCAGCAAGGCTTCTCATCTCTGACCATACCTCCTCTGCCTTCAGCTTTGACCTGGAAAATGGGCTGTCGCGCGAGAGAAGTGCCCTGGACCCTCAGTCCAGGCCTGGCCTGGGTCGGGTCGTCCAGGCCCCTGTCCCGCACAGCCAGCGGCGCGAGTCCTTCCTATACCGCTCGGACAGCGACTACGAACTCTCGTCCAAGGTCACGTCCAGGAACTCTTCCATGGCCAGCGACCTGTGAGTCGGGGCTGGTGGGACGACACCTCCTGGCACCCCCCTTCTTCCTTAGTTCCTCCATTTAGCAAACTCCTTCCAGTGGCCATTTGACCTAGGCTCTAAGGAGTTTAAGGAGTTTAAGGAGTTTGCCAGGCAGCTAATTTATTCAGTGTGCAGCAAGTGACATCAGGTGATCTGTGCTTGACCTTGGGCTGCGGTGGGGGTGGGGGTGGTAATCCAGAAACATTAAGGCCAATTAGCAACTGAACAAACACTTTCATTTGAGCTTCCTGGTAGCCATAGCGAAAAGGGAAATACAATAATTTCTGCCCTGCCTCAACTAAGACCACTACTGCCCATAGAACTCAGGTTTCCCATTTATGAGATGCAGATAAAATGAATGGTTGGCGGGAGGGCCTGTGTTGGCTCTCAGGGAGAGTTGGGTGAGGGGGGCCCAGGGCCCAGGAGGGCACCTGGAAGGTGCTCTTAGCTGAGGGCATGGTGTGAATAAAAGCTGAAAGATGGGAGTGTGTGGGAGCTCTCCCTCCCAGGCTGCTCTCTCTGATGGCTCGTCTCCCCTCAGACATGGAGAAGACTTGATTGTGACACCTTTTGCCCAGGTGGGTGCCTAACCTCCTCACCGCCACTGAGCTGCACAGGTAGAACTGACCCCTCCTTCCCAATATTGACCACCACCCTCCTGACAGGTCCTGGCCAGTCTGCGGACAGTTCGGAGTAATGTGGCGGCCCTTGCCCACCTGCAAGGCTGGGGGGCAGCCAAGTACACCGACAGCGGAGCAGAGGCAGGGCTGGCAGGTTCAAGGTGGGCAGGGTGGAGGCGGGAAAAGGGAGCTGCCAGTTAGAGCTGGGACTCTGTGGCCTCCAGATGGGGGTGAGAGGTGGGGCCAGATGGGTGGGGCGGGCCACCCCTGAACCTACTGTACCACAGGCAGGCATCTTTCGGGAACCTTCCGTCCAGCTGTCAGCCCCCTCCACCTACAGGTAATGCTCCTGTTCCTCCCCCCTCCCCCCACTGAGGGGCAGCTGTGAACTTCCTCTCCATAGTGACCTCCAGTCCCTGATCCCTTGGACTGTGGTTAATTGTAACCCACCCACGCTCCCACACAACTGCACACACACACACACGTACCCTTGGGGATGGAGGCCACCCCACTCATATTACAGATAGGGAGGCTTGAGGCCCAGAGAGGGACAGAGACCTGCCCATGGTCACACGGCTACTTGGGGACAGATCTGGAACTTGAATCCTGGAGTTCTGAGTTGCCCCAGTGGGAAGGGCTTTGGGGTCCAGAAGCAGAGATGGAAGAATGAGATCGTAGGGTCCCCGAGTGGGGGTGGGGCACGTCCCTTACCAGCTTGGCTCCCAGAGGACACTGGACGGACACTGGCATTGGAGACACTGGACGAGCTAGACTGGTGTCTGGATCAGCTGGAGACACTGCAGACACGGCACTCGGTGGGGGAGATGGCCTCCAATAAGGTGAGGGGCCAGATGGCCGAGATCACCTGTCTCTGCCCACAATGGTCCCATTATCTCTGTCCTCACCTCCTCCCACCGCCCCCCCCCCCCCCCCCCCCCGCCCCCCCCCCCCCCCCCCCCCGCCCCCCCCCCCCCCCCCCCCCGCCCCCCCCCCCCCCCCCCCCCGCCCCCCCCCCCCCCCCCCCCCGCCCCCCCCCCCCCCCCCCCCCGCCCCCCCCCCCCCCCCCCCCCGCCCCCCCCCCCCCCCCCCCCCGCCCCCCCCCCCCCCCCCCCCCGCCCCCCCCCCCCCCCCCCCCCGCCCCCCCCCCCCCCCCCCCCCGCCCCCCCCCCCCCCCCCCCCCGCCCCCCCCCCCCCCCCCCCCCGCCCCCCCCCCCCCCCCCCCCCGCCCCCCCCCCCCCCCCCCCCCGCCCCCCCCCCCCCAGTTCAAGCGGATGCTGAACCGGGAGTTGACCCACCTGTCCGAAACCAGCCGCTCTGGGAACCAGGTGTCTGAATACATCTCACGGACCTTCCTGGGTAAGCCATGGTGGGTCACTGCTTAGGTTATATAAGGAAGAGAAATACTTCTATTACAGACTTCAGTCCGGGGGAGACAGTCAGACACTACACCCTCAGCCCTGTGGGTCAGGGCTGGACCCATGGAGGAACAGCAGGAACTTCCAAGAGGAGGGGGATTGAAGCTAGGGTTTTGAAGCATGAACAGAAGTTTGCCAGGGAGGAGATGCAGGGAACCAGACACATGGGTCTCAGCATGGGAGATGGAAAGGACACTGGGTTGTTTGGGGAAAAATGCCAAGCCCCACGTGCCCAGTGACCATGCCCAGCAGAAGGGTCACTGAGACCAGCCATGAACACAGGAGAGAGCTACCAGGCCAGACAGGCACTTTATTCTGTGTTCACATTGGGCCAGGTATAAGGGAAATAGGATGATCCCAGGGTTTGGCAAGGTCCAGGACCTGAGACCAGGCAGGATGACCCCTGCAGGAGAATCGGTTTCTCTGAGCCTCCCCCTCCACCACCTACAGACCAGCAGACTGAAGTGGAGTTGCCCAGGGCAACCCCTGAGGAGCCCCCGCGACCCATGTCCCAGATCAGTGGCCTGCGTGGGCTCCCTCACAGTGCCAGTCTCTCTTCAGCCACCGTCCCACGCTTTGGGGTCCAGACTGACCAGGAGGGGCAACTGGCCAAGGTGGGTCCCCAACCACAATGCTGAGACCCAGGTTTGAGCTTTGGCTTTGTTTGGATGTCCTATCTTGGGCCTCAGTTTACCCACCTCTATACTGGGCAGGTGGGGCTTAATGTGGAACCTGGGGCGGTGGGGAGGGGTCGAGGTTCCAGAGTCTGCAGAAGTTGCGCTACGGTTGAGCTCCAGCCCTTCACATTTTAGGAGCTGGAAGACACCAACAAGTGGGGGCTCGATGTGTTCAAAGTGGCAGAGCTGAGTGGGAATCGGCCCCTTACAGCCGTCATATTCAGTGTCTTTCAGGTAGTTCCCCTGCCCTTGGCTTCCAGTACCCCTGAGGTTTCCTTCATCCCTTCCTACGCCAAGACCTCAAATCCTCCCTGATAGCACTGAATGGGATAATTTGAGCAGGGTATTGAAGAGTGAATAGGGGTTCACTAGGTTGAACGATTCATTGTCATGAGCCCGGCCCTGAAGAGACCCAGTCGGGAGAGAAAAGCTGGACACAGACACCCCTATCCTGTGGGGTCAGAGATGGACCAGAGGAGAAGGACAGAGACTGGGGAGTTCAGAGGGAGAGCAGGAGGGCGTCCTGGAGGAGGGGGCATTTGAGGGATGGATAGGTGTTCGGAAGAGAGGAGTAGGAACGGTGTACACGACAGCCCTAAGGCAAAGGCTCTGACTGGGGGCCTGTGATGGACCAGGAGCGGGACTTGCTCAAGACATTCCAGATCCCAGCAGACACGCTGGCCACCTACCTGCTGACTCTGGAGGATCACTACCACACCGATGTGGCCTACCACAACAGCCTGCATGCCGCTGATGTGGCCCAGTCCACACACGTGCTACTGGCCACACCCGCCCTCGAGGTACTGCACTACAGCTGCGGGCAGCCAGGTGGGTGCAGGGCTCAGGAGCCCCTGCCCGCCCCTCACCTCTTATACCCGTGCCCATTCAGGCTGTGTTCACAGACCTGGAGGTCCTGGCTGCCATCTTTGCAAGTGCCATCCACGATGTGGACCATCCTGGGGTCTCCAACCAGTTTCTCATTAACACCAGTGAGTCAAGGTGGGGAAGGGGACTGGGCCCTGTCTTCACCCTGTTGACCAGGTGACCTCAGGTCTGTCTGTCTCTGATCTGAGCCTGGTCTGTGAAATGCGTATGACAGGCTTCCCTCGCTCAGATGCTCAGAGTGGGTCCAGGTACACAGTAAGTGCTCAAGAAATGAGGCAAGGGCCGGCCTGTGGCTCACTTGGGAGAGTGTGGTGCTGATAACACTAAGGCCATGGATTCGGATCCCTATATAGGGATGGCCGGTTCACTCTCATGGGAGAGCGTGGTGCTGACCACATCAAGTCAAGGGTTAAGATCCCCTTACCGGTCATCTTTTAAGTAAAAAAAAAAAAAAAAATGAGGCAGAGTTGACCTGGGTTCACTGAGATCTTAAGTTTAAAGTCCTTCGAAGAGTCTAAAAACTCAGTTGACATGCAATTATTGGATGCCTTTTGTATCCAAGCGCTGGAGTGCTGGGGATGAGAGTGGAATCCTCTCATTCAATGAGCCCAGAGTCTAAAAAGACCAAGATTCAGTCATTCATTCAGCCGGCACTCACCCGTGCACTGTCTCCCACCATGCTGGGTCCCAAAGGAGCCCCCCTAATCTTGGGTAGGCAGAGCCAAACACAGACATCCCTCACCCTGTGAAGTCAGGCACCTGGATGACTTCTTGGAGGAGGGGGCATTAGAGTTGGGGCTTTAATGCATGGGTAGGAGTTTGCCAAGGACTCCCAAAAGCTTCCTTTGGGTGGAATGGGTTGGGTGGGCAGGTCTCGAGGCTCTCAGCTTTCCCCACAGACTCGGAGCTGGCGCTTATGTACAATGATGCCTCCGTGCTGGAGAACCACCACCTGGCGGTGGGCTTCAAGCTGCTGCAGGGGGAGAACTGCGACATCTTCCAGAACCTCAGTGCCAAGCAGCGGCTGAGTCTGCGCAGGATGGTCATTGACATGGTGAGGCCATGGTGGTAGGTGGGGTAGGAAGGATGGGGGAGCAATTACTCATCGTCTACACACAGTAGGTTGAGGTGACTTTGGTATGGCTGGCAGTTCAGCCAGACCTCGGCGTGTCTGCTCTGAGCCTCAGTTTCTTTGTCTGCAAAATGGGGCAGTGACTTCCTGAGCCCTAGGTGGGGGTGAATAGGCTCTCCATTGGGCTTGTCAGATTCCAGTCATGAATTCGACACAGGATGTAGAAACTGAGTTTCTGGGGTTTCAGGTGCAACTTTTTCTAACCCTTAAATTAAACATATCTGTCCATTTGATTTTTTTCAGGTAGGGGAATACCAGTAAGTTTGGGGGTCTCACATCTCATTCATTCATTTAACAAGCATTTATTGAGCACATATTGTGTGCTCGATCTGTGCCAATGACCAAGACAATTCTGGCCTTTATGAGATTCACAGTTTGCATTGGAGATGGACACATAGGTGGTAGCTGTGATGAAAGACCTGTAGGCAGAGCCATGACAGGGGAGGTTCAAGGTGCTGTGGGATCCCAGACCAGCTGGAGAAGTTGGGGCGGGCTTCCCAGGGAGGGAGCACTGCAGCCAGGGCATGCAGGGTGAGGAACACTGCAGGATGGGGAGGAGCATTCCCAGCAGAGGGAACAGCATGCAGGAGGGCTCAGAGGAAGGCCAGGCTTGGAGTGAGAAAGAGCTAAAAGTTTGATGGGGTACAATTGGGGCCTTGAGCAGTGGGCACCTGCAGTGGTGGTGGTGGGGATGCATTTAGGACAGATGAGAAGTTTGGGAAGAAGTTTTAAGACTTTTGTCTGATTCTCAGGGAAGCCTGTGGACCACTTGTGGGTCACTCCCAAGCTGGGTCCTCACAGGTCTGGTTAAGCTGGTTTTTAAACATCTGTGCCCAGGGTCAAACTTCCCTCCAAATGGCTGAAAACAGGCCTCTGGGGCACATGGCAGCCACACAGAAGTTTGGGGAGCACCAAGTCAGGTCCCTCCCCAGCTCCAAACCCCTCTGTGGCTTCCTTGCTCTGACCACAACTGCCTCATCTATGTTCCTCCAACACACCCAACTCATCCAGCCCCAGCGCCTTTGCACAGGCTGTGTCCCCTCCACTACCCTCAGCACAAATCACCTCAGCTCCCAGGTTTAATCACCCTCCCCCACACCCTGTCACACATGTGACAACCTCAGAGAAGGGCCACTGACTGAGCCCCTCTTGTGAGCTGGGTTTGCAGTGAACTCTGTTTTATTCTCCCATTTCACAGATGAGGACGCTGAGGCTCAGAGGACTGAAGGTCTGAGCAGGTGTGGTGTCTGGGAGTAGGGAGTTAGGCAAGTTCCTTGTGCCTGTCACTTTCCCTTGCCTGCCCCCAGGTGCTGGCCACAGACATGTCCAAACACATGAACCTCCTGGCCGACCTCAAGACCATGGTGGAGACCAAGAAGGTGGCAAGCCTTGGTGTCCTGCTGTTGGACAACTACTCTGACCGCATCCAGGTGTGTGGCCAGGCGGGCCCAGGGCCTCCTTTTCTGCAGTTCTCTAGATGCATTTATGAAGCACCAACTGTATGCTAAGAAATAGCTAGAGTCAGGGGTGGCCCATGGCTCATTTGGGAGAGTGTGGTGCTGGTAACACCAAGGCCACGGGTTCAGATCTCTATATAGGGATGGCGGGTTAGCTCACTTGGGAGAGTGTGGTGCTGACAACACCAAGTCAA